CGGTTTAGCTCAGGTCGGTCAGTGCTGGCGTTTCCGCTCTGTGGAAATCAAAGCTCTTCGGCATTTCTCGGTCTCGGATTAAGACTGCTTTCGGCACCGGCTCCGTGGCGTGCTGCCACGAACGGCTGTGGGTCTGACCCTCTAAGTTCTGAAGCACAGACCCATCTCTAATGCAGTGTAAAGCTCGTCCTTAGTGTACTTTTTCTTCTCAGATTTGACTTGACGTGGAAAACTTAAACCTTTAATCACAGCTAGCTTCAGCTGGTAAGCGGTATTTTTGTGCGGAGTACAGCCCGCCTTCTGTCCAGGTGATTCGGCCGTCTTCTCCCTAGGGAAGAGCGATGCTTGAAGCGCGACGTCGCCCTGCCCCGGCAGGCTGCAGGGCGCTCCTCTCCCCGCAGAAGAGCTTCCTGGCAGCCGGGAAGCTCTGCCCGAGCTGTCTCGGCGCTGCAGCAGGCTCGGGCTGGGCAGTGTTAACTTGGTGGGGCGAGAAACTGGTTTTACAGCTGGTCTGGTGAAAGGTACGTATGAAAGGTGGGCAACGTAGATCTGCTTCCAAGATAGAGTATATCAGACGTGTGCTCCTTTCCGGGTAAGGGCTACCTTTGGTTTAGTACCAGGCCGTTAAGGAAATGCTGCGTAAAGGCTGGTCGCTGCTTCTCTCTGACCGGTTTGACCCCGCCGGTGGCTGTGAGTAGTGAGGGACAGGCTGCACTTCAACCCTCCTGTTACGGTGCAGCAGGGCTGATGCCTTCCCCTTTCCTGAATCGAGTGAGTCAGCTCGCTCTTAGCTTAAAGCCGATAGGATGTAATACGCGTTTTTAGCAGCCCAGGGGCTCGTCTGTCAAAAAGCTGAAGAAATTTCAGCGATGTTTGTTCGTCCTGGGGAGCCCTTTCGCTCTGCTTTCACACAGGAGCCCTTCTTTTCGGTCAGAACGTTATTTTCTTTATTTTCCTCTCTTTGCTGCTTCGTAAAGGTACTGTCCACGCAACTGCACATCCTGAAGAGAAGAGCAGCGCTTTGAAAAGCAGCAAAGTAAGTAACGACGGGAGTGTCGGCAGCAGAAGGAAGGATAAGGAGGGCAGGGACCGGCGTAACGGTGGTGTATCTCGCAGGAAGGGTCCATCAGGCCAGTTGCAGCAGCCGCTCCCCTCTCCCCCTGCCTTCGCTCACACTCCTGGTCCCGTCGTTTGCTTCGCTAACGGGGGGAGCTCGGCACAGGACGTGGATAAGGGAGAGCGGTGACAGAGAAGGTGCCTGTCCCGGCACTGTGGAAGAGAGATGCTCACCGTGCAGGCTGCGGTACCGGAGCATCGCGCAGTTGAAGGCGTGGTGGTGTGTAAATGCCAACCAGCCAACCTGCCGTGCCACAGCCTGTTCTGAAGTTCAACGTCCGCATTCAGAACTCCTTGCCGTAAGTAACGGTCTCCACGGCACGTAGCTAATATACGCTGGAAATAAGATGAATCTCCAGTTTTACAGGAGCCTTACAGCTCTGGCTGCAGCACTGTACCGCTTCTAGAAAAAGAAACCGCAGTAGCAGTAACGCAGGCTGGGAAAAAAGCCCTGCTTTTAACAGAACAGCACAGCACTGTACCGCTTCTAGAAAAAGAAACCGCAGTAGCAATAAGGCAGGCTGGGAAAAAAGCCCCGCTTTTAACAGAACAGCAGTTACATCGCGTCCACGGACTTGTGAAGGGCGGGCTGATGAAACGTAACGTTTTTAGAAGGGAGAGAGGTAAAGGGCAAAAGCCCGGTAATGCCCCTCGAAGCAGGGGGCTGCGTGTGACACCCCCGCACTTGTGCTCCGCCACCAGTCCCGCAGAACAGGGCTCCTCCTCCTCGCACCAGCGGCCGTGGCCCTTCTCCCACGGCGAAGTACCAGGCAGCCAGGCCGGTGACTCGGGTCCTCGGCTGCCCTCTGGAACAGGGATGCCGGTGGCAGTGTGCAAACATCACTCCAGCCTTCCTCCGCCCCGGGCTGAACCCCTGTCCTCCCAGCAGCCGTCTTCATCACCGCGGTAGGGAGTGAGTCTGCCTCGGTGCCCGCCCGCTGGTTAAAGACCACAGGGCCCGTGCGGTATCCCTTCGTGACAGGGAGGGACGGGGAGAGGAGGGTCGCCCATCAGAAACGCTGGGGATGATGCGGATTCCGCCTTTGCTTCCCCGCCAGATGTAAACTGCACCGTCTTTCCATTCTATTCTTATTTTTATTTTTTTTTTTGGCCACAAAACTTGCCCTGCAGCTTGTGAATCGCTGCAGCGGTAGAAGCAGCGACGGGGTCTCTTCCCCCAGCGTGTTACAGTTTGAAAAAAGGCATATGCGAGTCAGAGTAGTCACATTTTTTATTTTAACTTTTTTGGGGGAATAGGGGAGAAAGAGTATACATTTTTATTTGTACAATATTTAACAATCACTTTATTGAGGGCGAGGGGGGGTTGGTTTGTTTTTAGTACTTGCAGAAAAACAGCAAGTACCTTTTGACAGTAGTACAACAACCTGTGCCCAAAACACTGACAAATACGAAGAGTAAAGTTAAAATAATTGCTTACCAAAATCTTGAGAGGTAACGAATAGTATATATGGACTGAGACGGCGTTAAAAAAATAAAATAAAAGAAGAAAAAAAAAAAGGTACTGCTGGTTGAGTATCTGAGGTAAATGATGTTCCATCACGGATGCTACTTGAATCGTTTTGCCCATGAACGTGTATCGCAGCTTTCTGCGTTTTGTACCAAGTGTTCCTAACAAAAGTAAACAGGTTAAAAAGGAGGAGCCGGACAGAGAGCGAACTGGTGACCCTACTTACTCTGTCGGATGCCAACGCGAAGGGGAAGTGTCTTATTACCGCCTGGCTGCACCGCGAGGCGGTGTGTGAAAAGCACACCGACTTTTTACAGTCTGAGAGAGAAGGTCTGAGGTGGCGGATCTCAAACTGGTGGCAGTTTCAGACCACCACCACCAGTGACAGCGCTAGTTCATCAACTCCAGCAACCGAGGCACGGTCTCTGCTCTGAAACGCTACGGTAGGCGTAGTCGTAAGTACAGAGTCCCGCAGGACGCGATGCAGAAGCTCCTTCCCCTCTAACGCAATGTAAAAAGTAACATGGGGCTTAAACTTCTGGCGAGGCCAGGAAGGGGCTCCTTTACCAGCCCCGCGGCAGGTCCGCCGTCGCCCTTTCAGCAGACTTCGCTGAAAGTTAAGAGCAAGGGACTGGCTGTTCCTCACGAGCCACAGGACAGGGTGACCCTTCGGAGCTCACCCGCCACGTCGCTACGTGGGACAACGGGCGCTGCCTGCTAGTAAATGATGCCAAAATATTTCCACTGGTGTCAATCTCGCTGAATCCTGCCCTCATTCACACTTGCAAAGCGCTGCTGGCTGGGGCGCCTTCTCAACTTGCACACTGAAGTCACACAAAAATAGGCGTCCGAAGGCCCCGCGAGAGCCGCTGTACCGGAACAGCTCTGGGGATGTTAGTGTTGCCCATTAAAAAACATTTATACCACGGCCACCCTTTTCACAGTGACACTAAATCATGCCGTTAGCCATCGGGGAACTCGCAGTAGGACAATATCTAAACGATGGGGGATGGCCCGAGGCAGTTTTAAAACAGCGCGGAGGTAAGTTCTCTCCGTTTTCCTGATGCGAGGCTTAGCGAGTGCCCTGCGCCGTTTGCAGCGTCAAGTGCACGAGCGACACCCAAGTCCCCACCGCGGTGGCTGAAGCTTAAAGGATAATACACAGATGATGCACATTTTATACGTGACCAATTTTTGCATCAGATCTCGAGTAACAGATTATGAAACCATCTGTATTTAACTCCATTTTTGCTAGTTAAAGGGGTTAAAACTCATTGGGAGCACAGAGGTCTTCAGTGAAGTACGAAGAGATTCTTATTTGTTCAGAACTCAGCAGCTACATTCGCGTCCTGCTGCGTGCGTAAAGTCACATCCCTGGCTTAAAAATGGAAGCAAAAACCAAAGTGTCAGTCGAAGAAGCGGCCACAGCCTAGGTTTCCTTCTTCTTCTAGCCAAGCTGAACACCACCGCGTCGCGCCCTACAGCGCCAGTGACCCTTTAGAGCAGGGCTCCTCAGCTACCTGAAACCTCGGGCACGCGCGTGACGACAGCAAGACAGCCAGCACGGGGTGGTACATGGAGACCTCTCCTCCCCTCCCTGCCAAGGTCTTGTTTATCCGTAACGTCTCTTACTATTCCCAGAGATTGAGTTCACGCACACGTACAACAGAGTATCCTGGGGCTGTACAGATCAATTTGCAAGGTAACATTCACAGTGAGCTCCTAACTGCAACATTAAAAGCTTCCTTCGAAAGACATCGACTGCGTGGTGTAAAAACCAAAGAAAACAACGATGAAATACACAGCGTGCTACCAGCTATCGTCGGTTCTGTACTCTGGAGGGTGGAAAGATTTATTTTACTTGGAAGTTTGTGTGAAGGATCAAATAAACGTAGCGAAACGGTACTTCTCAGAAGCACTTTGGCACCTACCTACCTACCTACCAGTCACTCCGTAATGTGAATATAAGGCATGACTTCCTAAACTCAAAAAGAAGGTTGGAGTTGTGAAAGCGGTTTCAACGGTTTTCCTCATTTTCTGCGAGTCTGTGCTAGGGCCGTCGGTATTCGTTACCTCCAAACTGTCATTGCATATTTTAAGTTGCAAGCGTCACTAGATCATCCCTGAAATTTGTACGCATGTATAATCTGAAATCTGTGGCTAGAATTTTTTGTCCGATTCTAGGATAAACCTACGTATCGCAGACACTAAGCAGTGCTCTGGCACGATGGCACCAAGCTTTACGTGGAGTGCAGCTGCAGGTCTCAAAGCAGAGAGGGAGGGATTCGGGGTAGCTGAGCTTCCTGAGGTGATCCTGAAACAGCGATACAGAACCCACTGCATACTGTTTAGTGAAACAGAACACACGCTAGGCAGACCTTTCCACAAACATAAATAGGAAAAAGACTTTTTAAAAAAAAAAAGAACAAGGATTCAGAGCTTTCCAGTGTCATAGCTCACAGAAAATTAAAAAAAGAAAAAGTCATGCTTAAGTTTTCAAATATTCCTCAGACACAGCAAACCTAAATAGTGTTCAGTTAAATAAATGTACGAGATATTCCGGGAAATGGAGGTAAGAGAAAAGCTTTAAACTAAAAGAGGAAGGAAAATTTTGTTTCAATAAACAGCACTGGTTTGTTTGGTTTTGTTTTTTTTTATACACAACAAGCTAGTACAAGAAAAGGCTAAAAACACTGCTTTAGGAATGGCCATTTACTGTTGGCATGAAGCATAGCTTACCCTTTTTAAATAACACAGTGAATTTGAAATACATCATTTACAAAACATGGATCAATTTATTATTCAAATTTGTTAGTGTTGTCAATCTCATAATTTAGCAGAGGTGGAACTGAGGTATACCTTGTTGAGGGAGGTTAAGTAATACTTGGAAGCCTCGTTGCTATATCCCACTTGATTACTTTTGTTTATGTACACTGAACAGCAGCACACTAAACATTCACAAGCTGTGTCATATTGGCATTACAATAGTCATTTTTATAAACAACAGCAAATGCAATAAAAACAAGTTACCCTTTTTTTTAAATCTGAAATGAAATGTTTGATTTAAAAAAAATAACAGTAGTTCATTTTAAGGAATTAGTCTCTTCTGACAGGTATTAAGAAATCTGATGTCAGTTTTTAAAACGCGTGATTAGCCGGTACGGGTCCGTATTCTTCATTTAAGTTCCTCAACAGCATGTTACCGCTTCTCAGTCACGTGTCCTTCGGGTGTAAGCAGGGAATGCAAAAAGTCTCATGGATCCATGTCTGGGAGGAGGAAGGGGAAAATAAAGGAGAAACCCCTCTTGGTGATGTTCCAGAGAGACTTACCAGTCTTTTCACACAGAAAACAGTAATGACGTAAGCAGTCCCGTTAGCTTTAGCAGCTCCAGTGAAGAGTCCCGGCGGTCAGTGACACGACCAGTGCAACTATCATAGACTGGATTCTTTGGGAGGAAAGTCAACATTTGTCACCATTGTGACCACAGTCACAATGTCCTCTGTTGTTATAATGTTAGTTAATTTTTGCATCTGAATAATCCGTTCTTCTACGCAACCCGCTGACAACCTGGCTTCCGCATCGTGATCCCAGCACTCCTCTATCGTTTCACAAAGCATCGCCATTCCCTGCGAGCAAACAAAGCGAAGTAAAAAAAAAAAAAGACAATATAGAGAGTTAGCAGCAAGTTTTGCGAAGGTGGGGCCGCCTAGCAATCCTAACAGAAAATTGCATTTCAAGGTACACCTGCCAAATCTTAACCCTTCTGTCAAAGGGGAAGCTATGCCCTATTTGTTTCGAAGCCCAGCACGTCATATGGGGCCTCGCGCCTTATTTTGCGCTGTTTAAACAATATACACAACCGCGAGCAAATCCTTTTCACCGTACGATGTTGTAGGCTGCTGGTAACGTCATCACGGTGTTTTAAAAGATCTCACACTGAAAGAGGTTGAGTTCCTCAGTGGTCAAACGAAACCTCAGTGAAAAGAATTAAACAGCACAAAAGGGGATTTATATCTGACAGCAGTTAACTTTTCTCCAAAGTAACACTGAGCTGATACAGCAATACGCTAATTACAAGGAGCAGATGGTAACACGCTCTTTCTTCCTGCAGACAGACAGCGTCATCTATTGTTTCTAACAACCCATTTTTTGAAAAATAAAAAAAACAAACCCAAAACAAAAAAACCCCCACCCAAACCCAGGGCTTGGAATAAGCAGTGGCGTTACGGCCAGTCTCTAGCCGTAAACCGGATCAGGAAAGCATGCAACTCCTCCCGAACTGATCCCTGCCCTTTGTTCTTGGCTTCTGTTTACCCTGTGTTATTACGTTCAGTTTGTAGCATTCCTGTCTTATTTCTTAAGTATGTTTTTAACATATGCATTCAAAAGTAACTCCCAAGAATCTCTTTCACCGAAAAAGTGAAAGAATCAACTCGTTTTCAAATCACTCAAGACGAGAGAGAATATTTTACGAACATACTAGTTTACAGCCCATTTAATTCTTTCTAGAATTATTAAACTTAAATTCTTCCTAAAAGACAGTATTATGAACACAACTCAGGATTAACAAAATCTGAAATTCAAATCGTGACAGAGCTCTGAAGAACCCGGTCGCCTAACTACTTACAGAATGTTTTTGCCAACACTCTCTTAAAACGGGTCTCTTCTTTTTATGAACTACAACTTCCTGCATGTCTTCAAGGGAGGGATGCTGGCCAATTTCTTCTTCAAATGGCAACATGTACTCATCTACCGGGCCTATAGATAACAAAAAAAAAGGGAAGTTAAACGACCAATTTTGCTTTAAAAAGGGTGGGGTGGGGGGGGGAGACTGGTATCTTAGAAATGTAGTCCATAATCAGAATCTTACGGAGCAGTTTACTTTCTGTTGCCATTAAAAGCTCATCCTACGACAGGTTAGCAGCAAGAGGTGACTAAGGCTTTAATTAAGCGGCAGTGGCATTTTCAGGAGCCACAAGGCTTTGCTCTTCTGCGCGCAGCAGCCAAGCCCAGCTCCTGGCTCAGCTCCCTTGCAGCTGAAGGCTTCGAAACGCAAGGGTGGAGGGAGGCGCTCGGATCCACAGCTTCTCCCCTGCCTCCCCCAACAATCGTAGCTTCGGTTAGAGAAATCGTCATCCTTCTTTCAAGTTTGCTGGCTCTCTTGATATCCGATTACCAAGCAGGCGCCTGATAGCCACTTGTGAATGTTTTCAATACCCCACACGTTGCAAAAATACAAGCTTGCGATAGCAACTGCTGCATCCCTCTGTGAATGTAACGCGTTTCCTCCTCCAACCCATACAGCCCAGGACAAAAGTAGTCACGTTGAAGGCGACGCGTAATATTTGTCCTTAGCAGAATCAGAGGGACAAGCTTGGTATGCTGAATTATAGATTACATAGCTATAGATTGTATAATTATATGTTATCGTAATACGTATTTTGTGCTCTCGGATCAGAAGCCTGAAAAAAGGAGGAAGGGGACCACGGAAGAAGTGAACGGTATGGTACAGATGAGGCTGATGAGACTCAGTGAGACCGACCAGGTACCTTCTGGAGAAAAACACCAAACAAAACCAACCATGCATTTGCAGAAAGAGAAACGGCAGCCATGACCGTAGAGCTACACAAAGCTGTGATTCAGGAAGGCTGCTTTCCTTCACTGATGCCTCCTTTACCTTCTGGAATAATAACCACACTGGCCAGAGAGACCCGCGACACACTTCTAGTAAGATTTAGGAACGTATGCTTTACAGTACACCAAGGCATGAAAAAATCAATACAGAATGGGGGACTGCCTCGGAGACTTGTGCAAGACTGTGTCGATCCCGTTAGTAAACAGCTTAACATTTCTAAAAGGGTAAAATCTCCCCAGGGGCTTCTACTCCGCGAGGAACGTTTGAAGCGGAAAAGCACTGCTCGGAGCAGAAGAGCACTGTGCGGCCGCGCGCTGATCTGCCGAGATCTCCAATTCACCTCGGCTTTTTATACGGGAATCTGGCAGCTGCACCGGGCTCTCACAGGAGAGCTTTATGACTAACAGCATCACAAGCCCAAGTGAAGCCGTCATGTTGACTTAGGTGAATTTAGCTGCTTTAAGGACTAGACTGAAAATGCAGCTTTCTCCCAGACATTTTTGAGCCTTGTCTTTTGTCTTGTTCTTGATTAATCCTGACTTATTCTGGACACCCAAAAAAGATCTCTGTTTACAACATTTAAGAATAGTATTCGTACTTGAAACAGGGTATCTGATATCTTTGCTTGATAGCTCAAAAATTGGATCCAGTGGTTTGCTCTGAGGAAAACAACTGTGATGGACCCATAGCTAAGGAAGTATCAGCTGCAGATTTCTCAGACAACACTATTTTCAAACTCTAAGCTATCAACAATTAATTAGAAATTCCTCAGAAGTTCTGACATCTGCATGAGCTGAACTAATGTTACGTTAGTGACAACAAAGAGAAAGAGAGGTAAGGGAAGCACTGAACTTACATGGCACAGTCTCACTCTGGCACCTGTGGCTAAACCAGAAACAAGAGACTTTTTCTATGCCTCGTTGCGAACAACTGACTTCCTGATGCACCGAAGAGCAGCTCACCATGATTCAGGAAGGGCCAAGGTGGTATCCTGCATATGCTTATAAGCAGCTAGAAAGTTATTGACTGCATCAAGGCTCTTCGTAATAAAATATATGTTGACGTATGAAAATTCTTCGTGTCTTTTAGCCTTATATTCCCTTACTATATTGGGAACAGATCTCTGACATTAATAAGCATCTACGCACACCTTCCACAGGCAGCGCTAAGAGGCAGGTCATCGTCCAGATGCTAAGGTGTACAGCAGGAGACATCGATTTCTCAGCGGGTGCTGGTGGGATATCTTTGTTACCAAGGTTAATCTAATCTGAGCTTTTGTTTATGAGAAGCAGCAATGCCTTTAAGGTAAATTGATTGGCACTGAAACCGTCAGGCCGAGCTCAGAAGAAATCAAACATATTAGGTTAGGAGTTCCACAGTAATTCTCCTCTTCCTTGCCATGACCAGGAGAAGAAGTGCAACAGGTATCCATGTATCAGAAAACTTTTACCTGGGATGCCAAATACTGACGAGACTGAATTATGAAGTGACTACACGATGTTGGTGCTTCATTCGTTTCCCCACAAGACTACCACCCTTATTAAGTTTTACTACATACATATAATCTACCTTCTAATTTCCTGCTTTAAATACCCCTCTCACAAATTACATTAAGTATTTCCATAGATCAAATACGTTGCTTACCGTCTGAGGCAGTACAGCGTGATGCCAATTCCCAGAGGACTAATCCCATGGCATACATATCTATTCTCAAAAACGCATCCCTTTGGAAGTTTATAGCACCTTCTAGTACCTCAGGAGCCATATACCTTCGTGTACCAACCTTGAAAGACAGGAAAGCATAAAAATGTGCACACTAAGAATCAACATGACCACAAAGACCACTCTAGCTGGTGCCGATCATAGTAATATTGTAGACCAGTACTATTTTTTGTCAAAGATTAAATGGTTATCCTTGCTTAGGACGAAGTCTTGGAAGTTTCTTGTATTCTTATATCCAGGAGTAGGTAGGAGGAATTAGAAACAATCGTATAGACTGGGCCCTATAAAGGATATTTACGAAGCAGGAAAACCTGAATATATTTTAAAATAACACATTTGCATAGCAATTCAAGATATCTGTCACTGCCATCCCTTATTTTCTTCTAGATTACAGGAAGGCCACTATTCTTATTTTTCCATGTCAAAAGAATTATTATGACTTCACGTAAGGATGTGAAACTTACTTATGTTTCTTCCTGTAACAGAAGCAGTAACAAAAATACCAAAGGAAAACTAGCTACCCAAAGTACAAGTTATACTGAGAAAGTTATATGAAATCACTTATACAAAACTGGCCATTAAATGAAAACTTTGGGGATAGCCCTTCTTTTTGACCACAGTCAATTATGAAATTATGTCATCTGAATAAATCAGAACTTAATACGATGTCTGAACAAGACCTACTCCACTATTTAAACTGTCACAGTAGTAGCTATGTCTCTCTTAAGCAGTGTTACTGAGGTTTTATCATCTTATTGCAAGGATTTTAGTTTTGTTGCTCGACCATAAACTGTGAAGCTCTGCCTAACATTAAATAGATTTAGTTTTCCAGAAACTGTAGTGCTTAAGCTCAAGCTTGTTATTTTAAAAGTACATGGTACTAAAACAGTTCCCTGATGTATGACAAGCACTTGATTAGTACTGTTGTCATTTCAGGAAAGTGACTGTTGCTAGGTCGTAAAGTTAGAAATACCATAGCTGCCAGTATCATCCCTCAATTTCTGAACAGTATCTCAGAACAATTAATAAAATATAGCAAGACCATTCCTTCTTGCCCAAATCCTCTAGTAAGAATGAAAATAAGTGGGGAAGAGAGGCCACGTAATGAGATGGGGGGAAGGCTGTGATCTGTAATTATCTAAAGATTTAATTTTTAGCCTGTGAGAAGAAAGCACAAATTGCCATCTTCAATAAAGGTCACCGCAAATAAGGTTGATGATATAGTATCCTGTACATGAGGAATGCCTAAACTGTCAATTTCCATTCACATGCAGTTAACACTTGTATAATTTATGTAAATAAATTGGTATTTACCTGTCCATGTGTATCCCCTGCAGACTTTCCAGCCTCAAACTTTAAAGCTAGACCGAAATCAGCAATACAAGCTGTAAGATTATTTTTCAGCAGCACATTCTTGCTTTTGATGTCCCTTTCAAGGTAAGGAAAAAAAAAGTTAGAAATCGAGAAGATGAAATACCATATAAAGTTCTAAGGAAAAAGTAACATAATAATACAAAGAGCATTATAATATGAAAGGCAAGAAAATTATAAAGAAGCAGTCCATTTAAACAACAAAAGAATAATAATAAAACCTAGGAGTACACTTGCACACCTATATTCTTGTGGGAATATATGAGACTGCAATTGGAACTATCATTTTATGCTTAGTTTTAAAATACATACAGATTTATAAGCATGTATGATACAGAAATAGAACAAAAATGTAGTCACTGCATACTTTAATTACAACCACATTTTGTTTGTTTAAATAACAGGAAGCAAAACACTTTGAAAAATGAACCTTGACTGTTTCTAACGAGGAGATACATAATTCCCTGCAGAAACAAAAGATAATGGGCTCGATCCAGGGATTCCCATCTGTCCTGTGCGCACCTCTCCCCCCCTCCCCTATTTTACCCTCCGTCAAGCAGGTTTGCTTATGGAATTCCAAACTGCAGAATCTGTACTTCTCTTACTCTATATGCCTATCTTTTATTTTGGTTACCACTATCATTTCAGCTCCCTACTTCTATCAATAGCTTTTCTATACCTACCTCATTTAAAAAAAACCCCAGCAATTACACTCAACAATAGGCACAACGCCACCTATAGTAAACGTTTCTGTCTGAAGGCATTCAGTATTACTTAAAGTTACATACATAAGTGTTTAAGCCATTTCAAATAGTTATAATGCCAATTATTTCATATACTGCAGAGGGTACTTAAATAATTAACTGTCTAACAATAGAATTTATGATGACATTAACCACAATCGCCAAACCAAGTTCTAGAAACCATCAGCTAGATTTTTGCTTCGGCTAAGCAGATTTTTCTTATGAGGCTCTTGATAATTCTGGAAGGAAGATATCACAGAGTAATTATTTGAATACTTCCTACCTATCCACACTTCATATCCTTTAACTCAAAGTTAAATATTAACAATCACCTGAAAGTATTTTACATATACTGTACCTATGTGAGATGGCAGGTTTATGTCCATCTTTTAGCCCTGGTATATCCTCGTGAAGATAAGCCAAGCCTCTAGCCATAGTTTGGGCGATATGACACAGCTCATTCCAAGAGACCACATTAGCCTTGAGAAAGTCTGTTAATGAACCCTGCAGAGCAAAAAAGAAAAACAATTACAAGATCAATTTCATTCTCAGCTGCTCTTAAAGAAAACTTCTAGACGGCCTCCATCATTAAAGAACACGATATGCCTGCCCGCCTTTCTCTGTTCTCTTATAGACCATATAATTATACACATACATACGCAATGAACTGCTTAGTTTAAACAACCTTTAAAAATTAACCTTTGCATCATCTCTAGTCCATGAATAGAACCAAGATGCATCTACACACCACCTCAACAGGCAAGCAGAGCAATGAACTCAAGTTCAGTGGCACACCTGCCAATGAACTGCGCTTAACTGTCAGCGTCAGAAACGGGAGGTAGACTTAAGATACTGAAGTTCTTTATAAAAAGACAACCCTGATTTTAGAAGGGTGATTTATAATCTTCCAGGCACAGGAAATTACAGG